CTCTCTATCTGAAGCCTAGCAAGGCAGGTATGTGGATCCCACTAGAATTTAAAATGAAAAGTAAGGGAGGGGAGGCTCTACTAGACTGGGTAGCTTTAGATACAGTACCAGGCACGTAGGAGGATTTCCACTTCTGAGCCATGGAAGCAGAAATTGACTTTTCCTTTCCAGATTTAGCTAATATTCAGAAAGGGAATCTAGCACCTGCCTTCCAGATGTGAACACCTCAAAATTCAGGAGTGCTCAAGCTCAATTTGGGCGGCTGTTACTTCATTTCTCCCAAATCAAATCTACTGATCCACTGGAACTTGCTGTAGAAAAAGTAGAATAAAATTGAGCAAGAAATGCTTCCCAGTGGTTATTAGGACTGGAATTGCTATTTTCAACAGCCATTGCTTTTTTATTATTATTATTATTTTTAAGTTTTAGTTTTATTTGTTTAAAAGGAAGACAGTGATTTGCATTGGCAAATTCCCCATAGAAACAAAGAATGGAACAAAAGAATAATAAAGGCACCTCAACTTTTCCTCATTTATGGAGGACAGTCTTATAATATGCATCCAGATATCCTCCAATCACACCAGCTGAAAATTGTTCCACTTTGCTGCAGTTCTGTAACCATATGGGAACCAATCCTGTCTGTGTTCTGTGCACATCTAAAATTCCTGCTGAATGACCCGCCCTGGGAGCGAGTTACCAGTGACCCCGGGCTGGGGCGGCAGGAGGGTGCAGTGGGGGGGGAGGGCAGCCAAAATTTTTTTGCTTGGGGCAGCAAAAAATCTAGAGCCGGCCCTGTGCAGACCCCAGTAGAACCGGATGGATCTGAAGTGCTGAGTGGCTCACTCAGTTCTCAGAAACACGCCACTTCCCTACCCGCCAAATTGTTTCCTGTTATTACACTGCTGTGTGCTCTGAGTGCAGCCCTCACACCGCGACTGGTATTGTCACCTTGTCACCTGCGGGTCAGGGCTCGGGGCTGTCAGCCAATCGCTGGGCGCGGGCGACTTCAGGGCTGTATAAAAAGCTCCGCAGAGCTGCGCCCCCGTCTGCTGCTGCTGTGTGTTCTTCCTCGCCGCCCAGAGTCGGGTGAGTGGCCCTTGTATCGGGGGGGGGACACCCGGACACTGGGGGGGGGAAGAGGGGTAAAGAGACGTGGCCCCAGAGGGGGAGTGGGAGGGGAGGAGGAGACATGGCCCGGGAGGGGAAAGAGAGCCAGGCCCTGGTTGTTGAGCCTTTAGGGTAGAATCAGGTCACATCTTTTTGAGCTTTTCTCTGCACCCCCAAGGCTTGGAAACGTAGCTTTGTTTTAAACAGAAGCTGAGATTCTCCTGTAGCTGCTTGCCCTGGGAGCTGGGCTTTTGAAAACACCGAATATCGTAAGACTTATAACATGGAGAGACTTGGCAACACAGGTGAGATCTTACAGCAGTCTAGGGGATTTAGATCCATAATTATCTGCATAGGAGTGGTGTCTAGGACCTGGCAGAGCTTAGGGCCCTGTTGTGCACTCGTCTTTCTGTAACTGAAATTGAGTTTTGGACACACCTTTCCTTTAAACAGCTGTGCTTTTGACACCCCCTTCCCCATTATCTTCATGAGAAGAATATTTTTTTGAGCAGAGGTGGGTCTGTAGACCTGCATCTCTTCCTTTGTCATGCTTCTTAGGGTATGTCTACACTACCCATGTTACAACATGGCCGTGGCAGCGCTGTGATGTGGACAGTGTAGACACGCTTTATCGCCGGGGGAGAGCTCTCCTGACGATAACCCCCCCCCCACCCTAATAGCTTTCACATCCCTGAACGACAAAAGTTTTAGCGCTGAAAGTGGCAGTGTAGACACAGCCTTACTAGTGGCAAAAACATCCCTGCTCAACCCCTTTTTTTCACAGGGATTTAACTTTCTGAAGAGGGCAATCACTTTGAAATTCAATTTCCCTGGGGATGAGGGGTGTGGGGAAGATAAGCCGGCAAGAGCAGTAGGTTTCTCTCCCTCTTCCCCAGGTACAGGGGTAAAGTGCCCACCAGGATCCTGAGAGCAAACCGAGAATTTGATTTCTACTGAAGTGGTTACTGGTTTGTATGTTGCGGTGGGGAATGATAAAGCGCTGTCTATACTGGCAATTTCAGTGCTAACACTTTTGTCGTTCAGGGGTGTGAACCTCCTCCCCCCCCCCCCCCGAGTGACAAAAGTTTTAGTGCTGAAAAGCGCCAGTATAGACAGCGCTTTATCGTTCAGGGTGGTTTTGTTTTATCGCCGGGAGAGCTCGCTCGTGGTGATAAAGTACAGCTACACAGCATTGCGGCTGCAGCGCTCAGGGCCGCCCAGAGGGGGGGCAAGTGGGGCAATTTGCCCCAGGCCCCGCGAGCCCTGACCCGGCGGCGGTCCAGGTCTTCAGCGGCATTTCGGCGGCGGGGGGCCCTTCAGTGCTGCTGAAGACGCAGAGTAACTGAAGGGCCCCCCGGCGCTGAAATGCCGCCAAAGACCCGGACTGCCGCCGGGTGAGTACAAGCGCCACAGCTCCCCCGCTTTGCCCCAGGCCCCCTGAATCCTCTGGGCAGCCCTGGTAGCACTGTAAGGTGCGCTGTGTAGACATAGCCTAAAAGAAGCCTGGTCTTCAGGATGCCTGAGTTCTTTTCCCAGATGTGGGGGAGTGAGGCCTAGTGGTCACAGCACACATTTTAAACCCAGCCCTGGGAGAAAGTTTTCTAATGGTTAAAATAGAGGATTGAGTCAGGATGCCTGGGTTCTGTTCCTAGCACTGCTACTGACTACGTGAGCCTGGCAGGGTGTTGGTTATTACCTCTGCCTTAATTTCATCTTCTCTGAAATGGGTGTAACCATGCTCACCCAAAGCACCTTGTGACCCTTGGATAATTGGTTCTGTATAAAAACAAAGAATTGATAATCCATTAATGTTTGCAAAGTCCTTGGAACTGCTGTGAGTCGCACAAAACACAGTTCTGGTGGTGTTTAAGGAGGGGGACATGCCTGTGTAATATAATGTGTCCTTTTATACATTGATACAAACAAGTTACGTATTACACTCTAGATATTGTTAGTTACCATCCTTAGCCTTGTACATCCAACAGAACATCCTCATTCATTATCCTGTCATCCCCTTTTCATCTTTATAATGGGTCAATGTGTACCTGGACCATTTTAAGGCTGAAGGAGGGGGATGTGCTGTGTAATGCTGACACCTAGTGGAGACTCTCAGCATTGCAGAAGGATGATGGGGACCGATAATGCAGGCCGTCAGATGTCACTCAGGTTTCAGAGTAGCAGCCGTGTTAGTCTGTATCCGCAAAAAGAACAGGAGTACTTGTGGCACCTTAGAGACTAACAAATTTATTTGAGCATAAGCTTTCGTGGGCTTCAGCCCACTTCTTCGGATGCACAGAGTGAAACATGTAGTGAGGAGATATATATACATACCGAGAACATGAAAAGGTGGGAGTAGCCAGACCAACTGTAAGAGGCCAATCAATTGAGATGAGTTATCATCAGCAGGAGAAAAAAAACTTATGAAGTGATAATGGAGATGACCCATAGAAGGTGTGAGGATACTTAACATGGGGAAATAGATTCAATTAGTGTAATGACCCAACCATTCCCAGTCTCTGTTCAAACCTAAATTAATTGTATCTAATTTGCATATTAATATGCCTGGAGATCAGAGGACTCTATATTGTCTGTGAGCTCATCCCAGAGACTAATCAATGGAGTTAGCAAGAAAGGAGAGAAGTGAGAGGAAGGGTCATAGAATAGGCCAGCAGCAACAGTGACTGAAACCAGTAATTCTCAATGTTACTGTTATTTATTTGGTTACTTAAGTGCATAAAAAGGTGTGTGTGTGTGTGTGGGGGGAGATCATATCCTGACCTCTAACAACTCTCCTCCTGTGGCCACCCCTCTGATTCCCACACAATGAGTACTCCATGCCCAGGGTGGGTAAATTTAAATCAAGGGGACTTAAATCACCGAGTGGAAAGCCTTGACTTAAATGATTGATTTTAATCAACTTTTCTGAGTAGTCTGGGCCTGCTCTCTCCTCCTGCTACTGCACACAGTCCCCTGCTAGGGCGAGGCTGGTAGGGGAGACCCCGGGGGTTGGGATTATCACCCCATCTTGGAGTTATTGTGGCAGGTTCTTTGCAGACAGAGGCAAGAAAAATTAGTCTGCTACATCTATATTACTGTATTAAGCGGCATATTCCTAGGCTAAAAATGTTACCATCCCATAAAGGTGTTAAAAAACTTAAAGGTAATTGCTACTAGTAAAATCTAACCAAGTGGCTAACAAGGGTGCCTTCAGTAACGTTATAAAGTAATTTAAAAAAATCTTTCTACATTAAAATACTGTTAATTTCACATTAATTTCATGTCAAGCCAGCAAACAAACAGCAGCCACAAAACAGCAACCACTTTGCATCGCACTGCTTCTGTGACATATCAATAGAACTTTGGCTTTGTTTAGCCACAAACCCATTTTTCTATCAAAACGTTTTGACAGAAAATACTTAATCAGTCCTAGTTAACATTTCTCTGCAAAAAAGTAAGTGGAGTAACCATTTATTGTTTGCTTGTGCTCTGCTTAGGTTTTATTCTTATTAATAAAATGTTCCTAACTGTCTGCCATTGTGGAGTCCCCTAGGGTATGTAAAGATCCACTTGTGGGGCATTAATGCTGCTGTTCTTGGAGCTCAGATGTTAGCAGCACTGGCAGAGACCGTAGCAAGTTGATTCAGCAGACCTCGATTATAAAGAAAGACACAGGCTTGGTTTGGTGGAGAAGGTACTCGGCAGGTTTGTCGTTTGTCGTTGACAAAGTGCCCTGGCTCAATGTTACAGATACACTGGGGCATGCCCCTCCTATGACTTCTCCTTTTATACATTGATACAAAAAATTGCATATTATACTCTAGCTATTCGGCATGCATCCGAAGAAGTGGGTTTTAGCCCACCAAAGCTTATGCCCAAATAAATTTGTTAGTCTCTAAGGTGCCACAAGGACTCCTCGTTCTTTTTGCTGAAACAGACTAACACACTACCACTCTGAAACTCTAGATATTATTAGTTACCATCCTTATCCTTGTACATCCAACAAAACATCCTCAGTCACTATCCTGCCATCCCCTCGTTATCTTTATAGGGGGTTTGGGTCTTCCTGGACCATCTCTTAGGAATGTGTTTACATAGTTACTTGAGAACTTTGTGTTTCTGCACCATCCTCTCAGGTCAGGAACGTGCTTTCCTGGTTAGCTGACACCTTGTGTGGTGGTGTTCTGCCAAAGCCTACTCTGGTTCATACTCTTAGTTATGCCTACGGTTCCAGCAAGACCTACAATGTGACTAAAACAGTGTGTAGGGAGCAGTGCTAGGAGTCGCTCTCCTGAGTTAGCATTAATAAGAGCAATGGTGAGGTTCAGCCCACCAATCCGTGCTTCTCCAGACTATCGGTAATTTGGGGGATAAAATTACTTCATGATCAACACCTTAAAACAGCCCTTTCATTGCATCCAAAAATACCACAGAACTCCTTCCAATGGATTATTTGACGTGATCCTCAGGAGATGGGTCTGTGACAGGAGTGGGTGGGTGAGGTTCTGTGGCCTGCGATGTGCAGGAGATCAGACTAGAGGATCATGATGGTCCCTTCTGCCCTTAAAGTCTGAGCTTTGCTTAACAATTTTCCGTTACTTCCTTTTCAGGAACGTTCCTGGGGCCTATGGACAGATGCTCACTGAGCACTGACTGATCAGATAAGTATTATCCAGTCACTCTCCTCTCAACAAACAAACTCAAACAAACTCTAATCCCAGGCTTGGTTCTCTGTAGGTACCATTGATTCTTTAGAGGATCTTTCTGCTCTCTCCCCTCAGATTCTGCTGAGAGACCAGCTCATCATTTGTCCCAGGAAATGACAATCAGTTTCACTGCTGAGGAGGATTAGGCTGCCCATCGTCTGCTGGGATATCTGATAGTTTAGGAAGGGGTCAGGAATCACAGAAACAGTCGGGAATCAGGTAAGTGGCATCCCTTCTGAATGACCCCAGGAGTTTCAGGCCCGGCTGCTCTGGTGAAGGTTACAAACCAGTTCACTTTGTAGCTCCCCTGTTCTCCTGAGTTTGTAGATTTCCCAGAGCTGGGAGGGAGCAAGGCCTAGATCTCCAATGGTATTTTGACGTTTAACCCAATATCTGGAGGGCTGTTTTAGTTTGATCCCAGCAGTGTGCCTGCTTAGTAGAGGGAGATAGGAAGGAGATTCTCTGGCTGTGAGCACTATGTGAAGATACAGCTGGTCATAGGGTTCAAGTGTTCTCAGCCTAGGAGGGTTGTGAATGGGTGTTAAACAGCTGCATTCGTACCTCCCTACTTGAGAGTGGGGTCCCAGCTAGATGGCAGGTCTCAAGGGTTGGGGGGCCCTGGCATGGAAAACGGATATAAACCTGTCATGGTTATAACCACGCATCTGTCCAAGTAATGAGAGAGCAGGAGCGAGTCTATTTGTGAGTGGGATTGATCAGGGCCACATTAAGGCAGAAACATTATCGACTCTGACTAGGGCCCTGGCTCCTGGAGTCATGTGATTACCTCAGACTGTTTTTTCTGTTGTTTGTTTTGTTTTTTTGCATCTCAAAGGGGTGTTAACCCCAAAACCTGCTGTTGTGGAGGCCCCCCCATCAAGACCACTCCAGTAAAGGACTCTGCATGTGGCAGGAGAGGAAGAAGACAGTGGGCCCAGCTCCCACCACCCCCTCCCAAATAAAGACACCAATCCTGCACAATCTCCTTGCCCTCTTCATTCCCCTGCATCATGGGAAGAAAGTGGTGCACAGACCCTGGAGTGGGAACTATGGACTTTTGTGAACCTTGCAACCAAGGGGAGACGCTGGGAAGAGGACTGTGGCCCAGGAAGGGCGAAGGGCTTGTGTTGTTTTGTTTGGATTCTCACTTACCCCAGAAGAGGGAGGACACTTGTTGGCATGGTGACTGTGGAGAGCTACACTGAATTTATTACCCAACTGCTGAGGGGAAACTGAGGCATGGCCAGAGTTAAACTGAGGAACAGGCTCACCAGATGCCAGGCCAGGTAAGGGCCTCTTACAGAACCCATTCATTGATAACTTGTGGCTGTGTGGATTATTTTGATGCACAGTTTTATGTTGCTTTGCAAGGTGGTGGCATCACACTGTAATTTCATATGTGGTTGTTCAGGTTATTATACCCCACCATCCCCGTGGGATCTGTGCGCGAGCTAAGTGGTGTGACTAGCACCTGTCTGTGCTGCCCATCCTCTGCAGTATCTGAGCATCCTCCGTGGAAACCAGTGTTTTCCTTTGTCTCTGTTTCCCTCCCCAGAAGGAGAACTGCCTGTCTCACTTTAGTGTTCTGTATAGACACTCTTCACTGTGGTATCTATGCACCTTCCATGTAAAAGCAATAGTTAAGCCCTTAGTGATCTTCTTGGAGTCTCCTGTACTCTTACCTTTTGAGGTAAAAGCTCTGCGTGGGGTAGTTTGACTTTTTTGAACTGGTTGACTGGCTTGTTTCAGAGTTTTGTTCGGTTATTTGGGGGGGTGTCAGTGTTGAGTGTCGTTGTTGTTACAGGGCTTCCCCTCTGTTTGTTGGGGAATCTGTGGCTGCGCACTACTGCACCTGGATCTTTCTCAATCTCTGCTAGTGAATTTATTCCTTTAGTTTCTTTGGCTTTAGTTGAAACGTAGCAGCCTTGTACAGGGAGACTCTTTGCTCCTTGTGCTGGGTTTGCTGATGAACGTAAGAATGGCCAAACTGGGTCAGACCAATGGTCCACACAGCCCAGTATCCTGTCTTTCAACTATGGCTGTTGCTAGATGCTTCAGAGGGAATGAACAGAACAAGGCAATTATTGAATGACCTGTCCAGTCCCAGCATCTGGCAGTCAGAGGCTTAGGACACCCAGAGCATGGGACTATGTCCCGGACCATCTTGGCTAATAGCCATTGATGGACCCATCCTCCATGAATGTATCTAATTCTTTTTTGAACCCAGTTATAGTCTTGGCCTTCACAATATCCCCTGGCAATGAGTTCCACAGGTTGACTATGCATTGTGTGAAGTAGTTCCTTAGGTTTGTTTTTAACCTGCTGCCTGTAGCGTCATTGCGTGACCCCTGGTTTTTGTATTATGCAAAGGGGTAAATAATACTTTTTCTCCAGCATGCATGATTTTATAGACCCCTATCATATCCCTGCTTTAGTTTTTTTTTGTTTTTTTTTCAAAGCAGAACAATCCCAGTCTTTTTAAGCTCTTCTCATATGGAAGCTGTTCCACACGCCAGTCATGGCGGGACATCCTTCCTAGGTGTGGGGTCCCCGCTACGAGCGCTGATAGGTTCCACGTCAGAGCTGAGCCAATCAGAAAGGGGTGGGAGAGTCTGACCTTGCTTTGGAGTGCGTCACTTTCTTGGGCGCTGCTCACGCAAGCGATTGTTGTATCGTGCAGGGCTCCGGGTCTGCCAGGCCTCAGGTCGCCGGCTCGGGTCTCCGGTGAGGGCCGGGCAGCGCGTGTCTCCGAGCCGGGTCAGGGACGTGCTGAGTCAGCTCCAGGGACGCGGCCACCCCCAGGCACCGCCCTCCCCCCTTCCTGGTGAATCTTTGGCTCCGGCCGCTGGCAGGTTGGCTGCGCAACCAGCTGGAGATAGCAGGGCTGGGGCTGCAGCATCTATCGCAGGTGCCGGTTTCCCCATGGGGGGAGGAGGGGGCAGGAGCAGGGCCCCGCCGGAGACAGGAGAAGGGGAAGCTGGAGGGGGGTTGCAGCTATTCCCTTCCCCCCCCCCCCGGCCATCATGGCAGCAGTGGGCAGGGCTGGAAGGGGGGAAGCAGGTTCCCTGCGGGTCACCGGAACTTCAGAGCAATGGCGGCCCTTGGTGAGGGAGGGGAACCGCCCGAGCCGCCCGCGGGGAACACGGGCCCGGCCCAGCGACCTCTGTGGCGGCCGTGGAGAGCTCAGCCCGGGACTGGGGGAGGAGCAGGTGAGCCTGGGGCAGGACGTGCAGCTGTAGCCCTGGGTGTGCGTAACCGGGAGCCCAAACACCCCCCGCCCAGTCCCAGAGCTCTCAGTGTGGGGAGGAGGCGTCTGCCCCTCCCAACCCATGCAGAGCCCCCTCCTTCATCTAGCCCCCAGAGCTGTCAGTGCATGGGGGTGGGCTGATGTCCCTCCAAGCCCTACACCGGGGTAGTCAATAGGCGAACCACGGGCCAATCCGGGCCACCAGACACATTTTTGAATGGACCGTGAAATCTTTTTATTTACTTATCATTACAGTTATTTTTTTTTGGTATTATTTTCTCTGGCGTTTGGATCTTTACTATACCTTGACCAAGAAATGTGGACCTTGACAAAAAATAATGGACCATCCCTGCCATATGCAGAGCCCCCTGCCCCGCTTCCAGAGTTGTCAGTGCCGGGGGGGAGTGAAACCCCCAGCCCCATGCAGATCCCCAACCCCCAGAGCTGTCAGTATATGGGTGGGAGGGAGCAAGGCAGATTGACTTAAATTAACCAGATTTTAAATGTCCACTGTTAATCATGATTTAAAGCAGCAAGCAGGTACCTCCACTTAAACTGACAGTTTTTCATCTAGTTTGCCATTTTTACTTTTTAGTTACTTTTCCTAAAGGGAGGCTGATTCTCATAAACTGATAACCAGTAAAACCTGTAGGTCTACATCTAAATAAAGCGTTTACAGTAAATTTGGTATTTTTTTATTAACCAGGAGAATACACTATATCTATACACATTAATTGCTTAAATAATATAGCTACATGTACAAGTACTTAGATTTTCAACTTTTAATTTTTGTGAATTTTTTTGTTTTTGTTCAAGCTTTATTTGGATGGAAATCGGAATTCAATTAAACTTGAAAATTCCGCATTTACATTTTTTAAAAATAAAAATACCTTAAATATGCTGGATACGTTAGGGGGGCAAAAAGGTTATCAGAACATGTTTTGCATTTAAAACTGATTACTTAAAGTCATGTATCCTGGCCATGACCAGGGATCCTAGCTGCTATGATGATAGAAATAAATAAATAACAAGGTAATAATTACCTGTAGTTAATTAATTGAACTGATTGTTTTTAGTCACCATGGGTGGGATCAGCAAAAGTACTTAGATGCCTAAATCCCAGTTTTGACTCTGCTGCAATCCACAAAACTTCTGACAAACCTGATAGCAGGGCCGGCTCCAGGCACCAGCCTACCAAGCATGTGCTTGGGGCGGCACCTGAAGGGGGGCGGTGCTCACCCGGGGAGAGCGGAGCCGCAGCGGGCTCGCTGCCCTCCTCCCGGTGCTCCGGCCGGCCGGGGAGAGTGGGGCCGCAGCCGGGCTCTCCGCCCTCCCCTGCCGTGCTTCCCACCAGGGGGCGGGGGGTGGCGGGAGGCTTTTTTGCCTGGGGCAGCAAAAAAGCCAGAGCCAGCCCTGCCCGATAGGCCCCTAAACTCACTTGGCACCTAAGTTTGAGACTAAAAGTTCTCTCGGTGTCTGTTTTAGCCTTTGAGGACATGCACTGCTGCCTCTTGGGACTCATCTGGACATCCCAGGTGGTGATCTAACCACTGGACTAGAAGTTATAATGTGGCATCGCCTCTTTCTCTGGCTTTTGTGGTCAATAGCCTCCCTGTGGTTTAGGTGCCTATCGCTGAGAGAGGGGCTGGGTTTAGGCCACACCCCACTGGTCAGTATCTCCATTTGATTGGCTTAGGTGGCCCCATTCATTGTATAGGAGCCTATGTGCCTAAATCAGCTTTGTGGATCACAATGGTGTTTCTTGGATTTTCTCACCACCTAAAAGCTAGGAGCTGTGATGCAATGCCTGAGTCCTTTGTGCTCCCGCTCCATGTTGGTTAGGAATTTCGAGCAGTGGTTCTCAACCTATGTACCATTGTGGGCCACATCCAATACTACCTGTATGACCCTGAAGATGTCACATGGGCCGCAACCGTGTGCTGATTGGGCCGCAGGTTGAGAACCACAGCTATAGAGCTCAGCTTCTCACGCCTAGTTTTCATCCATAGATTGGACGAGCAAAACAAGCTTTGCTGCTTTTTCAGCTCCCAGTCGGCTTCTTAACTTTGAATAAACTGAAATGAGCAAATACTAACTTTGTACCTGTGCAAGAGGCTACTGCTGTCCAAAGCTGCTTTAACAAACTCTGTGACCGGTGCTTAGCCAGTGACTGGCACCACTTCAGTGGTTTGACTTTCTTCAAGACGTCATCAGCAAACATGTTCTGCTGGAATGTTATTCCTTTTCATTTAAGTTATTTTAATGGATTATAGTAAGTTTAGGCCTTAACATACTGTTATTTCAAGTTTAATTTTAAATTGGTTTCTTTATTTAAATAAAATCAAATTTTAAACCACTGATTTTTATCCAACTGGGGGAAGGGGGAGACTGTGTCCCTTAGAGTCCTTCCAAGGTGCTGTGTCTGTGCCCCTCCCAAAGCTGCATCTGACACTCACCCCACCCCCCAACTTCCCAGAGTTGCCAGTGCAGGGGGAGGCACTACACACAGCTCTGCAGTGTGTGCCCCTCACTCCAGACATAAACGGCGTGTGCACATCCCGGCCTGCACCCCACACCCAGCGTCCGTGTGTCCCTCTCCTGCCGAACTCCCAATTGAGGAGTGAGAGGAAATGGGGAATCTTCAATGAGGGGCTGATGACACAGGAGGGGGTTATGTACCACACTGTGCTGGGCTTTTGTTCTGAGGGACGGGGGGATGGGACACCGCAAACAAACCCACCGACCCCTATACTGTCCTGACTCTGTCATTTCACATTCTAGGTCAGCTGGGACTGGAACTGACTCTGCCGTGGCTGCGTAGAGCCATTTCTTGCAGCTGGCCCCGAGCTGATCAGAGTCCAGCACCCACGGCTGCCTCACTGCAAGGAGAGATGCAGGAGGGAGCAGAAGCAGATCCCCCTGAACAGCCTCTTACCAATGCCATAGACTCGAAGAGTGGAGGAGAAGCAGGTAACTGGAGCTTCCCTGCCTAGGAACAGGCTGGAGAGAGGAGATGCCTTTCAGGAGTGGATGTAGCTGTCTTTTCTCCTCCTCCTCCCTCCACCCACCCACCCCCGCCCCGTGCAGCAGAGGCTGTATTGCTCCAATGGACTCAGCTCGTGCTGCACATGCTCTCTTGTGTGGCAGTTGCACGTATGGTTTTTAGGACTGCACATGTTCTATCCCCTTGAAAACATTTGGCTCACGTCTCCCTGGGTCGCTCCTGTCACTGCTCTTGCCTTCTGGTTGGTTGTCCTTCCAGTGTGTGAGCTGAGGTGTTTGCACTCATAACCCATGCAGACAGGGCCGGCTCCAGGCACCAGCTTGTCAAGCAGGTGCTTGGGGCGGCCGCTCCAGAGAGGGGCGGCACGTCCAGGTATTCAGCGGCAATTCGGCGGACGGTCCCTCACTCCACCTAGGAGCGAAGGACCTCCCGCCGAATTGCTGCCGCAGATCGCGATCGCAGCTTTTTTTGGGGGGGGGTTTTTTGTTTGTTTGTTTTTGGCTGCTTGGGGCGGCCAAAACCCTGGAGCCGGCCCTGTATGCAGAGCCTGCCTCCGTGCATGGCCAGGAGCAGGTGTAGCTGCCTGTAGCCACAGCGCATTCACTTGTTTTGCCAGTGAATTTATCATGCCCTCAGATGTCTCTGGGTGCTAGGGAAGAGGATTTGCAAAGATTGAACTCCAGCCGGGGTTCCCTGGATTTACTCTCCCTGGGACACAGGCGCTCTTCCAAAGTTCCTGCCAACCTTTGGTTGTTAATTATGGCAACTCTGGATATTTCATGTTAACCATATAAATGCTCAATCCCTTTAACTTTCCTAAATTCTTTTTATCAATTTCCTGTGGCAGTGAGTTCCACAGTCTAATTATACATTGGCTGGAAAAAATAGTTCCTTTCCCAACTCTTTAATCTAATTGAATATCCCTGTCACACGGTCTGCACAGGTTTCCACTCTCCCATGCCTGGGCCCTGTGTTGGCTTTCTTCAGTGCTTCACCTAGCCACAGGGCCCAGGTCGCCCACACCCAGCCGGCCGCTGTAGCCACCCATTCGAAAGTCCCCAGGGATGCATCTGGGTCATCTGTGGGGCCCATCTTGCAGAGCCCCACCCCGGCATCCTGGTCCTGTCCCCCAGTGCCAGACTCACCACCTTTTGGAGGATCTGTTGGGTCGCTGACTGTTCACTGATAAACTCCTGGAGTGTCTGCTGTTGGTCTGCCGGCCATGTCATCAGGGCCTGCCGTTCTGTCTGTTGGGACTGTTGCATTTCTTGCACCGTGGTCACCAGCCATTTTAGGGTCTCCTCCATGCCAGCAGCCACTGTTAGCGATGGCTAGGAGGATCCTGGACAAGCCCCCAGCGTCACAGGGTCGACACAGGTTTCCACTCTCATGTCTGGGCCCTGTGTTGGCTGGTTAAACTAAAGAGTCCCCACGCCTTCTTCAGTGCTTCACCCTTGTGTCTTTATTTACAGTGCAACAGTGTTATCTCCCTTTCTCCCCCAACAGCTATCCCCAGTCAGACCCTCCCAGGGTCTCCTGGCCCGTGAGGCTCCTTTCTTTTGGTGAGGTGACAGAGATGTAACCCTCCCAGGCTAGCCTCCTGACTGAGCTTTCCTCGGGGCTTTTATAGCCCTCCTCAGCCCAGCTGTCGCTACTTAACTCAACTCATAGGCGTGAGCCAGCCCTCATCTGGGCCTGTAGCTGGGCTCTCTGCTGACTACCTGGGCCCCCCGCACCTGGCCTCCCTACCAGACATTAGGGCTTTAGCCAGCATTTTAGCAGGGCATTCAAGGGGTTTACCCCTGCCCTGCCACAATCCCCTTGTGACATTACTGACATAACCTGTGACCATATAGATTATTGTTGCAACCACTGTTATATATTTTCAGCAAATATTATACAAAGGTTGTTGTGTAAGGTGTCTATGGAAAGGGTATGATTTGCTGGTTATGATTATGCTATTTGTGTGTGTGTGAATTATTGTAGTTGAAGTTATGAATATTGGCTATGTACTTGTATATCAAGGTGTTTTGATTCTACGAAGCCTCGGTAAAACATTTGGTCAGCTAACTCTTGAGAAGGGACTATTCTCAGTAAGTGCTCAATCAAGAAACACTTAAGAGACAGTGAACCTTGGGAGACGCCAATCCACATCTGAGCTTTCCTGAAAAGGTTCAAACTAGCATGTAAACAATGGCTTCAGCCTGCAAACTGAGTCATGCATGGACATGTGACTTGCCCATGTGACTCCAGACTCCATCTTGCTGCTGGAATTTTCCACAGTAAGAACAAAGAGGTGTCCTCCTAGGGCAGAGAGTATTAAAAGCCCTAGAAAAAAAATGTCTGGGAATTTGCCCTGCTTTGAGCAGGGGGTTGGACTAGATCTCCTGAGGTCCCTTCCAATCCTGATACTCTTTGATTAACAGGTTTTGATCTTCCAGGTCATCCAGCTAATTCCAGCTCCAGGAAACCTGCACTATGGTATCGTCCAGCTGTCCTCAGAGCCATAATCGTGGTTATGACGGTCGTTGTCATCGCTCTAGTAGCAGCTTTGATAGGTAAGTTCCCAACCCCGATGATTCAGTCTCTGGGTGTGGAGCTTTCTTCCTTTGCAGCTCACACCTCCACCTCATCTGTCCCTGGCCTCTCTGCTTTAGCAGTCAGGTCAGACAGGAGTCTCTCTAGGCCTCCCCCACTCCTTTTCCCCCAGGGCCGGTGGGGTGTCTGCGGCTCCCCACAGCAGCCCGGGTTCCCTGGGTGGCTCTTACCACACCCCGGCTCTGGCTTCTGGCCTGGCCAGGTGGCAGAGCCTCGGAAGGGAAGAGGAGCAGGGGGTGGGGCCCCATGGTGGGGGGAGGGGAGCTAAGGCCCACCTCAGCCCCCCACGAGGCTGGTGCCGCTAGCAGGGGCTGTGTGTCATGGCGGGGGAGCTGATCCCCCTTCTCAGCTCCCCAGCTGTGAAGCGCAGCCCCTGCCGCCGCCACCACCGTGCCTGCCCGAGGCTCTACGCCCAGGTTAACAAGTGGGCAGGCCTGGCTGACCCACATTAAAACATGGGGGGACATGGCCCCCCTTACTACCCCAGTTCCAGCGCCCCTGCCAGACACTCTCCTCCCTTGCTCTCACCTTTCCCATTCACTTCACTGCACACTTTGTACATCCCCAGCCTGATGGGGGCTGTGGCCTGGTTGCCTCTGGCCCTATCGCAGTGTGTGTTATAACAAACTCCAACTACACTGCTTGTCGGATTGGTGACCATGTCCTCTGAAGCAGCTGTTGCTGGCCACTCTCAGACTGGCCCATCTCTCCCATCAGTCTGAGCCCATCGGGCAGTTCTTGTTTCTGTCCCTGCTCGTTCTCCACAGAGATGAGAGACGGGACGATCTCTCACCTTGTGTTTTGTTTTTTCCAGTGGAAAAATCTAGGCCGTCTCCTCCTTGTCCCCCAGCTGCCTCCTGGTGCCCGGACGGCTGGATCCGGATCCAAGGGAAATGTTACTATTTTTCTAAGGCCGAAGGGAACTGGACCTACAGCCAGAGCTTCTGCTCTTCGCATGCTGCCTCCCTGGCTGGGATTGAGAGTCCGCAGGAGCTGGTGAGAAGCCTGGATAGATGCTTTGTGCCAAGCCCAGCGATCGCTGGCACCACAGACAGGGCTGGAGTCAGGCTGGGCTCAGCCCCTGTAGGGCAGAGAGGAGCCCAGGTGCCTCCCAGGCTGGGCGGCCAGAGTCAGTGCGGTTCTGGCAGCTGAATCCTGGCTGGACCTGGGGCTCCAGCCACCTCGCCCCTGCATCTGCCAGAGCCCAGGTGGAGACTCCCCCTGTGCAGGGCTGGGCCGGCTCAGTCAGCTCCAGGCCAATGGGCTGCCTGGGGCTGGAGGGAGTGAGAACCTGCCCCCCCCCCCCCAGCTCAGCCCCGCCCCAGGGTTTCCTCCTGGGTGGGGCGGGGAGAATCCAGCTGGAGGTGAGGCCGGCTTTATTCCTCCTCTTCTCTAGGGTTGCCAACTTTCTAATTCCTGACAACTGAACACCACTGCCCCGCTCCTTCCCCCGAGGCCCCACCCTCTGCCCCGCTCCTTCCCCCGAGGCCCCACCCTCTGCCCCGCTCCTTCCCCCGAGGCCCCACCCTCTGCCCCGCTCCTTCCCCCGAGGCCCCATCCTCTACCCCACCTGCCCCCACTCCAATCACTCGCTCCCCCATTTCCCAGGACTCTCCTGCCGCCTGCAGAGCTGAGCTGGGAGGAGCTGACATGGAGCCTGTCCCCCTGCCCAATCGGGGCACAGGGGGGCACGGCAGGGGTCAGTCCCTGGAGCGAGGGGCTGGGGAAATTGGGGCACAGTAGGGCAGCGAGAGGCAGACAAGTCCCCCCCTTCCCCTCAGACGGCACTGGTCCGGTACCTACTTTGGAAACCGGTCCAGCAGCCAGCCAGTTCTCTCCATCAGGCTGGGGGATGGGAAGAGTCGCAGCGGCTAAGCAGAGCCTGCTCTTCCCACCCCCTGGTGGTGGAGGCTGGTTGCTGCAGGTAAAGGCTGTCAGTTTCTCTTTTCAACCAAACGTTCTGGTAAAAAACCGGACACTTGGCAACCCTACATTGTCCTCTCCTCACTTCCCTGCCCTGGTGGCAGGGATATCTCTGCCCTCACCCTCCAGCTCCCTTCTCCCCCCGGCCCTGCTGTGCTCTGAGAAGGGGCTGCTGGGCGGACAGTGACCTTGCAGCTCAATTCCTGCTTCACCCAGTAGGTGCCACAGCCCTGAAAAGAAGACTGGGGAGGGTGAAGGGTTAATACTTACCTGATCCCTTCACCCAATAACAAAGGCCAAAGTCTCTAGAAATCTCCCGCTGCCCACAGCCCTGGTGGGTGTTGGAGCAGCACAGAGTCAGGGCCTAACACAGCTGATTGCATCTATTGGGTTTCTAAGGGTTCCCTGCTGCCCTACAAGGGCAAACTGGACCACTGGATCGGCCTCCGGAAGGACACAGGCCAGGTCTGGAAATGGGTCAACGGGACTGAATTTGACCATCGGTGAGTCTTTTTCTCTGTGTTGGTCAGATGTGATGTAAATGCCCCACTGGCTGCTTTAACTTCCCCTCTTGCCAGGAGCGGGGCCTGGTACTCGTGCAGGGAGGGGGATCCTGAGGGGCTGTGAGTGCAGCAGCTCCCTCCCTGCCTGGCACACACTGACTCTAGCTCCAATTATCTCTGGGTTACAGGTTTGAGATACAAGGAGGTCCAGACTGTGCGTTTCTGGACGAAGACCTCAACGTCATCAGCTCCAGCTGCAGCTCACTGAGAAAATGGATCTGCAGTAGACCTGATACCCCTGTGAAGGGAGAGGAGCATGGAGTGGGAGGGGATTCATGAGCTCAAGGGAATCAGAGACTGTTAGGATATATTTCAGAGTAGCAGCCGTGTTAGTCTGTATCCGCAAAAAGAACAGGAGTACTTGTGGCACCTTAGAGACTAACATATTTATTAGAGCATGCTAAATA